TTTTTTAATACTAACGATTTTTTATTTGTCCCCAATTGCATTTTTCGGGGTTTTTGTGTGTGTTTCGCGTACCAATAAATTATAGTTGCGATGAAAAAATTGTTAAATAAACAATTGGGTATTAATACTGCAGATAAACAGAGTTTTCCGGTAGAAAAATATTGATTTTTAGGAATTCTATACCATTTCTACGAAAAGTTGTTTTTTCCCCCATATAAAATACATGGAAAACTTTGGGCGCTTTGAGCGACCTCTAAATATTTTTTGATTTCAAAATAAAAAAGTATGGGTATATTTTTTTCGGTAAAGAACAATCTTAGGGGGTAAGGGCATACAAATTTCGACTTTAATTTTTCACCTGCATTTGTGGACCACCCTAATGTAGGTATATGCAAACTATGTTAGGCAGTTTTTTATATGTAGCAAATAAGCAACACTTTCAACAAAAAAATGTGCAAAAATTAACGGTAAGCCCTGGGTACTTCAAAGTTCCACTTTATACTAAAATTTAACGGACTACAAAAGTGTGTACTCAATTTGTTTCTAATAAATATAGTAAACAACTCTTTTGATGCAAATTGTTCGAACTTTCCAAATTTTTTTAAAACGTTTGAAATATTGACTTACATCGTTTTGATTAGATAACGAACTACATATACTTTCATAAAAAAATCAAAAAGTTAAATACACAAAACAAGATTAGCTGAAACTTGTTAAAATGTCCCATCTCTATTTAAGTTTTTGCCGATGCATTTATACTATTTTACATTTTTGGCTGACAAAATCGAAGACAACTGACTTTCTAATGAAATGGAATGAATTGAAATGCATTGATTTTGTTGTTTAAAATAATTAACTTTGTTAAGATTAAAAAATCACACTAAAATGGCGTTTAAAGCTAGCCTTCATATTTTTTCTACTAATATTACCACGTTCAATATAATTAGTGCCGTAGTAAGGAGTTCACAATTTTTCTCTTAAGATTATGCATTTCTTACCGATAGTGTCGATACTATCGAGTGATGAGGCACAAAACTATCGAAAAAATCGAATGGTCCAACTATCCATAGTTTTGCAGCTCTAAAAGGGATTGTAAATAAAAAGTGTAAGCACGTGTTTGCAAAATTGCAAAATAAAAAAAAGTGAGTGTTAATAATTTTTGTGATCAATTGATATAATAAAAATTGAACATACTAAATATAAAAGAATAATGAGAGGATTTTCAATACAAACAAAGAAGTTAGCAATGAAATCGAGAAATACGTAAGTTTTTTTATTATATTTCCTAATTAATTGTTGAAAACAACCTTCTTTTAATACACATGTATTAGGGTGTTTTTTGGGCGACAATTATTTCATTCAGTCCCATCTCGAAATACCTAAAAAAAAATTTCCTGAAAATTTTAGCCATTAATATTAATATTAAGTGCTCGACTATGGCGTGCAAAGATTTCACTTTTAAAATACAGGCAAACTTTGATTTTTTTCTTCTAAGTTCTACAGCTCAAAAGCATTTTATGGTATAATAATAGTCGATGGGATTTTTTCAGAATTGAATGTTTTACAAAAGTGTCCAGTGCCACTTTTAGGCCTGATTATACATACTTCGCGTAACTTCGCACAACTATTTGTACCAGTACAATAAAAATGTAACTGAAGAAAATGTGAAGCAAAATATAAACTCAACAGATCGCAAACTTTTTAAAAGTTCTGCTAATTTCTGGGTAAGGGAATATATACAAAATACATACAAAGTAGATACGAAATTACAGTTTGAAGTTTATGCAAAGTTGTGCGAAGTTATGCGAAGCATGCATAATCAGAACATAACCCTAACTCTCATCAGCGAGGTGGTACGGATCACTTAACCCAATTTTCATAAAATCCTCGTTTTAGTGCCCTATCTCGGAAATAACAAGCGCTAGAGGAGAAATATAAATGACAAGCATGGAGGACATTTAATTTCTTACAAAAAAGTTCTAGAACACAAAAACGCATAAGTCGATATTTTCTGAGATGTTGAGCTTTGAAGCTCAACTTCAACGTGAAATTTTGATGGATTATTGAGCTTGGTGAGAAACCACAAGCGTTTTTGGGTTTCTTAAACTAGTTTTTATTCTTGAATTCAATTTTTACAATAATGTAATTGAATCTTAATTACTAGGCGTTTAGATATTTTAAATATATGGAGTTGTGAAGTGAAGACGCTCGCGACGATGACTTCTTCAAGTGACGATTGGAAAGCAATTAAATTTATGTTGAGGAGTAACAGCATCGGTGAAACTGTTCATTGCTGTGTACTGATACGTGTTGTTGTTGTAAACAGTAGGCACATAAGCGACGACGAGTGATGGTGGTTGGCGAAGAGCAAAAAGAGTATGGTGTGGTGTTGAATAAATAGTTACTGCTGCAGCATAGAAGGAGAAGTGGCGTGAGCACAATATAACGCCACCTATTTGGAATGTAGAACAACGGTAGTTGACCGCTATAATACATTGCTGCCTACTGCTCTTTTTTGGCGATCAGTTGTTTATTAATCCACTGAAGGTGCAGTGTTGGTATGGTGGTGAGTGAGCGGCCTATGAGGATATGAGGATATAGGGTGATACCGATAAAGGTGTTAGTGGTCGACTGTTTATCATCGCTTCGTGCTGTCCGATGGCGCGGCGGAGGTAGTACTTCGCTTGCTTAACGGCGCTCTCCCATAGGCCACCGAAGTGTGGAGATCTGGGGGAATGAATTTCCAGTCGATGCCTTCCTCACCGCAAGCCTTTTTTACGCAGTCAACATGCTGCTGCGGAGTGAATTCGCTTAAGAGGCTGCGCAGCTCACGGTTAGCGCCCACGAAATTTGTGGCGTTATCCGAATAGATAACATGACATTTGCCATGCCGAGCGATGAATCGTTTTAAGGCGGCGATAAATGCAGCGGATGTAAGATCAGCTGCCAACTCGAGATGCATGGCCTTCGAACTTAAACAAATGAAAACTGCTATGTAGACTTTGATGGGTGATCGGCCACGAATTTTTTGAGTGATGTGTAGTGATCTACAGTAGTCTACTCCAGTTTTTTCAAAGGGAGGAGATGCGATGACTCTGTCTCTTGGCAGCGCACCCATCAACTGTTCTGCAACGATTGGACGAAAACGATAGCATATTAGGCATTTGGGGATTACCTGTCTGATTGTGCTTCGTGCGTTCACAATCCAGAACCTTTCGCGTAGAATGCCTACCATTGTTTGGCAACCGGCATGCAAATGCTGTCGGTGAAGGTGCATGATGAGTGTTGATACGAAAGGATGCAACTTAGGTAAAACTATGAGATGATTTTCATCGAAAGTGAGCGACGAGTTGTTGAGGCGACATCCGACTCTGATAACTCCTTCATAAAGAAATGGTGACAATGAAGCCAACGGTGAATTTCGGTCTAATGAGCAGTTGTTTTGAAGCTGGTGAATTTCAGTGTGGAATACGCGATGTTGAAGTGTGCGACACACTGTGTATGTTGCATTGGCCATTTCTGAAGCGGTGATTGCACCATGGCGTTTATCGTGTCCACGGATCGCGTCAAGGAAGCGGAGTACGTAGCAGAACTTGCGTATAAGCTTTTTATAATTGCCGATGAATTTGTGTTCGGCGATTATGTCAGTTGTTGTTTTCGCTACCAAAGTGATTCGCTGACGTCGTTGTTCTGACAACTCGTCTATGCTCGGGGTGACTTGGGGCCAGTGCTGACTATCGAGGACGATGAAATTTGGGCCAGTGAACCACAAATTATAGTCGAGAAGTTGGTTTGGCTTAACTCCGCGAGATAGTGTGTCGGCTGGATTAACTTCTCCAGGAACATGGTTCCATGTGTATTGAGATGTCAGCGACTGAATCCTAGCCACTTATTGCTGACAAAGGTTGTCCATCTTGACGACTCTCCCTGGATCCATGCTAGGGTGATCATGGAGTCTGTCCAGCAGTGAACGTTCGCTGGGTTTGGCTTGAGCAAGCTGCGAACTGAATCGAGCAGTTCAGCCAGTAGCAGTGCAGCGCACAGCTCTAGTCGTGGTAGGCTGATCTCTTTAGTTGGGGCAACACGAGATTTTGCGCATAAAAGTGCTGATCGCAAGGACCCAGAATAGTGCGATACCACGTAGACGCATGCTCCATATGCCTTAGTACTGGCATCTGCAAATGCATGAATATTAGAAGCGGACTCAAACATTACTAACCTGGCCACTCGGAAACTTTCAATCAGAGGGAGCTGTGCACAAAAAGAACTCCACTCAGTGTGAATGATGGCTGGCACACTTTCATCCCAACTCAGTCGAAGTTTCCATAAGTGTTGCATCAGAACCTTGCAGGTAACGATGAGTGGATTGAGCAGACCCAATGGATCAAAGAAACGCGGGATGTGTGACAGAATGCTTCTCTTGCTGACCTTCGATGCTTCCGGTGGTTGCGTGTAACTGAACAAGAAACAGTCTGTCGAAGGTGACCATCTCAAGCCAAGTGCCTTTACGTAGTCGATGCCGTCTAGTTGAATGATGTCTTCGCGTTCAGCTTCAGGTATATCTACTATGACTCCAGGATCATTTGACGCGCACTTTTGCAATGAAAATCCGCCACTGGTCAGCACTTCTGTAACTAGACGTTTGATTTCTCTCACACACTGAATGGTTGAAGCGCCGGTCATCAAATTGTCGACATAAAAGTCTATGCGAATCACTTCAGCACCAATGGGGTGTGATGAAGCGTGGTTCTTTTCTATCTGCTGCAGACATTTGGTGGCCAGGTATGGTGCACTGGCGGTACCGTACGTTACCGTTTGGGCTGATAACTCTTTATGCGGTCACTTATTTCATCACGCCACAAAATGCACTGGAGTTTTGCGTCTTCTCTGTCCACTAGTATTTGTCTGTACATTTTGGCGATGTCAGCTATCAAAACGAAAAGATGAGTGCGAAATCTGACGAGTATCGAGAAAACGTCATCTTGTATAGTTGGCCCAACCCGAAGGATATCGTTGAGCGATTTGCCAGTTGAGGTGCGACACGAAGCATCAAACACGACACGAAGTATAGTCGTGCTGCTGTCTAACTTTAACATGGGATGGTGTGGTATATAATTTTCTGTTCCGCTTGGAACTGATATGAGTACCATATGCTGGAGCTCAATGTACGCCTTCATGAAAGCATCGTAATCTGCTTTCAAATTGTTGTTGCGGCGTAGCTTGGTTTCGATGGACAATAAACGACTCAGCGCTATGTCGTACGAGCTGCCTGGGGATTTCAGGGGCTCTTTAAATGGTAATCGTACGATAAATTTGTTTGTGGTTGAGAATCTTTTTGTTGTTTCTTCGAAATATGTTTCGCACTCCTGCGGCCTTTCTCTTGCTTCGGTTGATGTTCTATGTTCCAAAATTTTTCTAAGATATCGTCAAGAGATGGCTCTAACGAAAGCGATGACTGTTGTTGTTGCAAGGACACGAACGAAGATAGCGTTGGCCATGTGGTTGATAATAGACAGTCTGTTCCAATCGAAGTAGTGTAGGGTGAAATCAAGGCAGCTGAAGATAGCAGAGGCTGGCAAGTGACAGCTCCAGCCACGACCCAGCCAAGCTTTGTTTTCTGCAACCGTGGTAGCTTTTCATGTAACTTTATCTGGCCTACCATTAGTAGGTCGAAAAATATACTGGCTCCAAGCAAAAGATCCACGAGGCCTGGTTTATAAAATGCTTCGTCAGCTAGGTTAATATTCTTCGGAATATTCCACGTGCTGATATCCAATGTCGGTGGTGGTTGGCATGGCGTGATTGTTTGCATAATGACAGCATCAATGGTCGACGAACTTGACGACTTAAACTAGGGGTGATCGATAACCAACTACTGGTGTTAATTGGTGACAACTGTTTACATTCGGCCATTCTGCTCCTCGTCATCTGACCCAGATGACAACTCTTCAGAATTACAAACAAAACGCCATAGCTTTATATTGTCAGCGGATGTTGACGTTTGCTTCGGTCCTTCACAGTTTTCTGATTTTTTGACTTCGTACCGGTCGTTTCGTTTGACCTTGGTGATAACGTAGGGGCCAAGATATTCACTCGCCAGCTTCTTTCCAGCGACAAACTGCGTACGTTTGATTGCTACAATGTCGTTGATCTTGTAAATAGGCGCGGCCTTCCGTCGTTTGTCGTAGTTACTCTTATGTTGTTCCTGCGCTTTGAATATTTGCTCTTTTACATCACGACGTAAGTTTTGTCGTTCTTCGTCAAATGCATTGATGAGTTCGCTGTTTAGTATGTCAAGCAGTGCGCTGTTAATCTCCGCTTTCATTTTAACTCCAAACATGATTTCGAATGGCGAACGTTTTGTAGTTGTGTGCACATGACAATTAATGGCCTTTTGTACTAGCCCTACGTTTTTGTACCATTTCGATGGGTCGTCTGTTGACAATTTTGACAACACTGACAAAATTGACCGGTTGACACGTTCAACTTGGCCGTTTCCGCGCGCAACTCCTGTAGTACTGGTGACGTGAATAATGCCATTATCCGTGCAATAATCGCTGAACTGTTGGATGTGAACGCCGGCCCTTTATCGCTGATCAGCGTTGCCATTTTAGCCGTTTTCCGGCTAGATTTAGCCGGTTTTGATAGCAACTAGCCGGAGAAAATTCGATCTAGCCGGCAGCCGATTTGTTAGCCGGTTTGTAAAAAAAAGTTAGCCGTTTTTAGCCGATTTTACTATTTGCCTAATTTTCAGGTGCAAAAAGTAAACAAGTTGTTTGAAAGCAATAATGCAGACCCAATGAAGATTTTTNCGCAACTCCTGTAGTACTGGTGACGTGAATAATGCCATTCTCCGTGCAATAATCGCTGAAGGTGTTGGATGTGAACGCCGGCCCTTTATCGCTGATTATCCGAATTGGATTACCGAAGACGTTTGACCACTCACGCATTCTACGAATAACTTCATCGGCATTTGTTGTTTTTGTTGGAAAAAGCCACGTGAATTTGCAGAAAGCGTCCACCAGAACCAAGAAATGTTTATATTGTTTTGCAGAGGCGTCCAAAGGACCCAAATGATCAACATGGAGTGTTTCACGTGGTTGATCTCCTTTATTAATACAATGCAAATGTCCCTCTTTTTTGCCAAGTTTTTTGTTATGTATTATACATTTTACACAGTTGGCTATACAACGGCTAACTTTATTTTACAAATGTGGTATAAAATAATTTTGCTGTATTGCATGCACAGTTTTTTGCTCTGCGAAATGGCCCATATTATGTGCTTCGCGGATTATGTCTGCTTCCAATGACTTGGGAACAACAAGTAAATCGTTGCCGTGTAACGTTTTATACAGCAAGTCTCCTTTAATTTTGTAACTTTCGTACGGCTGAGTTTTGAGTATTTCACGAACTGCTGTCAAATGCTCGTCTTGCTGCTGCGCCTTTTTAATGCGTGTCGTTACGTCCGTCGTTATGATGAATACCTCTGCTACTGGGTGGCGGCTAAGGCTGTCTACATGTTTCTTTCGTTGAGCCGTTCGATGCTCGACTTTGAAATTGAAATTCTGAAAATGCATGATCCATTGTGCGACTTCTCTCGGTACGTCTCTTTTCGACACTGTATTTTTAAAAGCGGCGCAATCGGTGATGAGTGCGAAATTCACCCCAAGTAAATAATGCCGAAACTTTTTCATCGCGAGATAAGCCGCCTTAATTTCTAACACGTAGCTATGCTGCTTAGATTCTGAAAGTGTGGCTTTTTTACTCCAAAANTAATGCCGAAACTTTTTCATCGTGAGATAAGCCGCCTTAACTTCTAACACGTAGCTATGCTGCTTAGATTCTGAAAGTGTGGCTTTTTTACTCCAAAAGTAAACAGGATGCAACTCATTTTCGAAAAATTGCATCAATGCAGCACCAAAACCTTCTTTGAATGCATCGGTATGTAGTTCCGTTTTCGAGTTTCTGTCGTACAATCTTAACACTGGTTCTTTTGCAAGTTTTTTCTTCAGTTCGTTTATTGCTGTTAGTTCCTTGTTACCGATTTTAAACGCGCTATCTTTTCTTAGCATTTCGGTGAGTGGACGTGCTATCAGAGAGTACCACTCAACAAATTTCCGAAAAAAACCCGGTTAAACCCAGAAATGACTGTATGTCTTTTACATTTTTGGGTATCGAAAATTGTTGTACCGCTTTAGTCTTTTCACTACTCGGACGCACCGTGCCGTTTTCAATTACGTGTCCCAGAAAGTTAATTTTTATTTGCATAAACATGCACTTTTGCCATTTTATTTTGAGGCCGTAGTCGGATGCTCTAACAATCACTTTTTTGAGTTTCTTTATAATTCGTCTGCCGTAACACCGTATACTACTATGTCATCCATATAAAGTTCCATTACGGCCTCATTCACAAGTTTTTTAAAAATATGATTTACATATCGTATGAAGACTGCGGGTGAATTGCAAAAGCCGAAGGGCGCGTAATTAAATTCATAAACGCCTTCTTTGGTTATAAACGCGGTGTATTTTCTAACATTTTTTTTGATAGGCACGTGAAAGAACCCATTTTCTAAGTCCATCACACAGAAGTATCTAGCTCTTTGAAGTTTTTCCAGTACATCGTCTATTATGGGCAATGGAAAGCAGTCTTTAAGCACCATCGAGTTTAGTTTTCTAAAATCGATACAAACACGGTAGGAACCGTCCTTTTTTTTCACTACCACTACTCTACTCACAAAATCTGATGTAGATTGTGTAATTATTCCCTGGTTGAGCCACTGCTCAACTTGCGTTTTGACCGCCTCTTGTTCCTCGGCGGGAGACGACTTGGCGATTGATGAAACGGTTTAATATTGTCAGTAATAATGTCCATTACGATTGGGCATTCCACTGGCACTTTCAGTGGTTTGTAGAGTATTATTGTTTCGGATATCACTTCCTTAAAATGCGTTGGCACAACGAGTTCACTGTTTTCACTGATGTTATAGACCTTCAGTTCGTTGTTTACGTCTGATGCATCTGTATCGTTAAATCTATAATTGCCTTTGTCAAACACGACCTTGAATTTGCTAATAAAGTCAAAGCCAAGCAAGACTTCGAATTTAATTTGTTTGTCTGCTACGACTATAAAAGTTTGCGTACAACGCGCTTCATCAACACATACATCACAACAGCAAACGCCTTCGACTTCGTTTGCCACATTGCCTAGTCCATATAGTACGCGGTCACAGTTTTTCAAAGAAATATTGGGAAATAGTTTTTCGTATAAACTTCTACATATAAGCGATACATCAGACCCGGTGTCGACTAAGCACTTCACTTTGTATTTATTTATTACAATGTCTTTAAGGCGGCTGCAAACAGATATTACATTACCACCGTGTGGATTTTCGCTCTTAAGTGGGCATAATTTTGCCACATGTCCACTTTTGTTGCAATTAAAGCACTTCGTAGGTTCTTTACAGGCTGGTCTTTTATGCTCCGTTGAGCCACAATTGAAACAATGCTCCCTTTTCGATGTTTAATTCTTCTCCGTTGGTTGTTCACTTTTAAATGCGTAATCAAATATTTCATATTATTCAAGTAGCTCTTTAATGCTTTTGCAATTGTATAACACAAATTTTATCTCAGCTTTGACACGCAACCCTTCAACAATATAGCGTATTACCGATGCATCGTCGACCGCCCCGAGCGATGCTAGTTTTTTAACACGTAAAACGTAGTCGTGGAAACTTTCGTCACTATGTTTTCTTGTTTCACGCAGTTGTTTATGCAATTCAGCACTCGTATATTCCTTGTGGAATTCTGCAATTAAGTTTTCGCGTAAACTCTTATAATCACTTACACAAACGGACTCCAGGAACAACTGAGCCGTTTTAACCATTTTTCCGCGTGCTTGGACATATTTTTGCTTTTCATCGAGTCCGTATGCTTCCGCGTTTTTTTCGAAATTTTGAAGCCACTGTATAACTGGAATACTCTTGCCGTCATAGGAGGGAATTATTTTTGCGAAACTATCTGCTGATATTGTGACTTTTTTATTGCTGTCCTCTTCCCTTAGCATCTTTAGAGTGAGCAGTTATATTAAATCATTTATGCTGTCGTCTTTGGTTTCAATGACATTCGGTGTGTCAAAAAATCGAACACCGCCGTCGCTAGCTGACTTCCAGCCGCTCATTCCAGCACCTACGCCCGCTGAATCGTTTCCACACATTTCCCCGCTTTTATTCTCATTGCTGACAGTATTCGTTTCTGATGGTAGCACTTCTTTAGCGCCACATTCAACGGCCGTTTTATCTGCGCTCTCTTCGCCGCAAACTTTTAAATTCGGATTTTCTATTGCACCTGCACCGTCGACTTGTCCCGCTATTGAGCGCGTGAAGTAGGGGTGCGTATTTTGCATTTTAAGTTACACAAGTGCTACAGTTTATGGTGGCCGAATTTTCTGCAGAGACCTTCGAGAAACTTCAAGGTTGCGAAAGGGAAATATAAAATGTCACTACACCAAATTTTTGGTTTCTTCCCCTTCCCTTTGATTGAAAGTGAAGTATAAAAGCAGCTTTTATTTCGAGTTGCGAAATTTATATACTACTTCTTATGTCGACTTTTATCTTAACGTAACTTGACCGGTTTTGGCTACGGTTGAGCCCCCAAATGTAGGATGGAAGTTAATATTTTATTCAGTTAAGGTTTGAGTTAATGATAATAAGTGAAATTGAATAGCAATGTAGAGATGATTTAAATATTAAATTGAATATTGATGGTTCAGAGACAATCCAGGTATGTTAACACGACCGGCTGATTGATTATTCGAAGGAATGCTGCGACCGCACGACTGCAACGACTACTGTGGAACAACTGACTACTGAGATCGCTGAAGAGCCCAAAAAGGCACGATATCCGAGGATAGGGACGACTGAGAACTGGAACTTGACGACTTAAACTAGGGGTGATCGATAACCAACTACTGGTGTTAATTGGTGACAACTGTTTACATACATAGGTTGAAATTACATGCCAACTGGCATATCAACTAAGGATAGTGCATCCGGGTGAAAGGTGGTAGAATGCTGAATGGCTCTACCACAATCGCCGCCGACAACCGTTGTTTTTGCCTCGTCAATAAGAAGCTCCAATTAGGAAAGTCTTTTCACGACTACGCCAGGACCAAACGTAACTGGAGCTCCAATATTAACCTTCACGTATGTTTTTATTTTAGACCAAATTATTTCTATAGGGTTCAGCATTGGCGAACAAGGTCCCAGGCGTAGGAGTGTTGCTTTTTCTGTGGTGTTATAATTATTGATGGCATGTTCCAAACGGGAGTGGCACGGAGCATTATCGCACACCACAACTAAATCCGCAAGGTTGTTGCCCATCTCAACCCACCTATGAAGGACAGTTTGTATCCAATTACATGCATCCGCAGATTTAAAAGACAAATAACACACTTATCCTGGATCTCCATTTTAATAATTTTTTTTTATAGTTTTTTTTTAAGAAATTAATTCTTTTAAGCGCAACAAATCACAATTGGATGAAAGTAAAAAGAAAAACTTTCGATATAAGCAATAAAAAAATATAAATGTATTCATATGTATATATTACAAGTAATTTTATGCAAAGTATGTATGTACATTAAACTGTCCCAAGAATATATGGAAAAAAAAATGATTTGCCTTATAAAGAAATAAAATAAGTAAGTTAACAAAACTCGCGAACTGCACAAAGATTATCCTGGTAACTTTGACTGCAAGTCGGCACGGGTTGCCGTGGTCCGAATTGCATAAAATTTTATTTGGAGAGTATTTAAGACAAATCGAATAAAATGAGGGGGTATGCGTGAAAAAAAAACAACTTTGGTTTTTTGGGACAGTCCAATCTACATACTACATACATGTTAATAAATGGCATTGTGCTTGCACTATATACATACATTGAAGCAGTTATTATGTAGTTTTAATTAATAAAGTGTATATATTTTGTGAAAAGGAAGTCCAGGATAATTCCGTTTTTTTAGATCAGCATGAAGCGGCAGGCAGTTCGAAAATGCCCTATCTCCAAAAACTTTTCAAGGATGTCTTATATACATACATATGTATTTACATAGTTCTCCTTTTGTCGTGCAAACATCTTTTTCATAAAGTTTGCTCGAGGGCTATATCACTCTCAGAAAAAAAAATTACTGGTTATATCAATATTCTCAAAAGCGAAGGATTTGGGGCAAAGTCCCTACATTGGAAGAAGTGAACTGTAAAGTTAAATGGATTATAGAGCGCTGCTTTAACACCTGAAGTATATTTACAAAAGTGGTTTCTGAAGTACATATCACACTTTCTGAAGTACATTTTATGGTGTCTGAAGTTCAATTGATTAGTGTGAAGTACGTTTTTCGGTTTCTGAAGTACATTTTCGGTTTCTGAAGTACAAGTTACGAATCTGAAGTACATTTTATGGTTTCTGAAATACAATTGACTAATCTGAAGTACATTTTTCGGTTTCGGAAGTACAGTTTTTGGTTTCTGAAACACAATTGACTAATCTGAATAACATTTTTCGGTTTCTGAAGTACAATTTACAAATCTGAAGTACATGTTATGGTTTCTGATGTACAATTGACTAATCTGAAATCCCTTTAGCGCATTCTGAAGTAGATTTGACTACTTTCAAGTACATTTTACGGCTTCTGAAGTACAATTCATTAATATGAAGTAAATTTTTCGATTTCTGAAGTGCAATTGACTAATCTGAAGTATATTTTATGGTTTCTGAAATACAATTGACTAATCTGAAGTCTAATTAACAGTTTCCTAAGTACGTTTGACTAATCTTAAGTACAATTGATGATTTCTGAAATATAATTGACGCTTTCTGAAGCACTATTAGAAACGGTGTAGTACAACAAACATGTTGTGAAAGTCCTTGCCACTCACGATGACAACCTCCAAACGTCGGCAACTGCAGTTTTGGCAAGTTAATTTTCAGTCGAGGCACCGGTGTGATGTGCCACATGTGTGCTGCTGAACGGTGGGTCTGGTGTACTGGTGCGTAGAGATGACAGGCCCTCTGTGTATAGGGCTTTAACCGCGCAATAGCTCGCATCCATATGAACACGATGATCCTCCTGGAGCTGCGTCTCATCCAGGTGCTCCAACTGTGACTGCAACTCTTCGGACATTAAGTAATGGCGTTCGACAAGTGCCAGCTTCGCTTCTGCATGTGCTTGCGCGAACTAGCAATTTGACTCGGCTCAACGAGAAGTGCGCTTATACGCGACACAATTGAATCATTGTTCAAGAACCGCGAGGTTGACTGTAGTTTTGGAGCCAAAAGATCCAGCTCGTGAGGACCAGTAAATATGGTGAGAAACCACAAGCGTTTTTGGGTATCTTAAACTAGTTTTTATTCTCGAATTAAATGTTTACAATAATGTAATTGAATCTTAATTACTAGGCGATTAGATATTTTAAATATATGGGGATGTGAAGTGAAGACGCGCGCGACGATAACTTCTTCAAGTGACGATTGGAAAGCAATTAAATTTATGTTGAGAAGTAACAGTATCGGTGAAGCTGTTCATTGCTGTGTACTAATACGTGTTGTTGTAAACAGTAGGCACATAAGCGACGACGAGTAATTCAAAACGGCCTCAATTTGCTTCAAGACGGTGTAAAATTCCTCAAAGGTCAGCATTGATTCACCTATGACTCGACGTAGATGGTGTTTCATGCTCTTTATGCCGGCTTCCCAAATACCCCCAAAATTTGGTGATCCTGGAGGTATAAAATGCCATGATACGTTGTGTAGTGCCACGGAACGAGCACCAGTCTCTATTTGAGCGCGAAAGGCGACAAAGTCTTCCCTCAGAACTGTGTTAGCACCGACAAAAGTTGTTGCACAGTCACTATAAATATCGGAGCTATAGCCGCGTTGGGAGAAAAAACGTCGATGTGCTGCTAAGAACGCGTCGGTTGTCATATCACTGACCAATTCCAAATGTATAGCACGAGTGCTCAAGCATATGAATAGTGCCACATAACTTTTGAAGCTGCGGCTACCGCGGCCTTTGGTAGCTCGAACTTTAAACGGACCTCCGTAGTCCAGCCCGCAGTGCTTGAAAGGGGCAGCAGCATTGCACCGGTGTGTAGGTAGATTCCCCATTATCTGGTTGGAACCTACAGCTCTCTGTCGAAAACATTTAATGCACCGATGGATAAAGCTTTTTATGGCTGACCGAGCGTCGATTAGCCAGTATCGTCTGCGTAGAGCGTGCAGAGTTGCCTGTGTGCCGCCATGGAGCGTGGCTTCATGCGCCTGCGCGATAAGAAGCTTGCTAAGTTGACTGTCTTTTGGCAAGATGATAGGGAAGCGTTCATAGAAAGGTAAACTGGCGTTCTTCAGCCGTCCATTTAAGCGCAAAAGTCCATCATCATCCAGCACTGGGTTGAGCTTTAGGAGTTTGCTCTTTGCATTGAGTCCTCTTTTCTGCCGGAGACTGGAGATTTCATTAGAAAAATGTATGTTTTCAACGTACCTTATCCAATATTTCAACGCCTTAGCTCTCTCTGCAGCAGTGCAAAAGTCAGTGTTCTCATGGGGTCTTCTCAATGCAGCACATACAAAACGCAGGCACCAAGCAGTGACGGCTAGTAGCTTTTGGATACACGAGTATTTTTGAAGAATCCAGTCATCAGGCTTAGGAACCGATATTAGTGACACAATGCTAAGATCGTCGTTCCCAGCCGCCTGGGTGCTTGTTGGTTCAATCACGATGCTTGCTGGCCAATAGCTTTCGTCCTTTTGTAGCCATGTGGGGCCCGCCCACCATATGCTAAGGTCTTCAAGTTGCGAAGGGTAAATGCCACGAGACGCGACATCAGCCGGATTGCATTTAGTGGGCACGTACCGCCACGCGTCTACATTTGTCAGCTCCTGAATCTTTGCTATCCGGTTGGCAACATACTGCTTATGCTGTCCAGGATTGGACCGAATCCAGCTGATCACTGTCTTCGAATCACACCAGTACCATGTGTGAGTAGATTTAAGCTGCAGAGTTTCAAGAATTTTGCAGGTTAAAGTACTCGCAAGCACTGCTCCATTTAGTTCCAAACAGGGTATGGTTCGTTTCTTTAACGGTGCCACCTTGGTCTTCGCCATGATAATAGATACTTTTATTTCACCGTTCAACTGCGTCACCCGTAGATACGCGACGGCTGCGAAGGCTGCTGATGACGCGTCACAGAATACGTGCAGCTGAGCTTCTTCTATGTCGTCAGCTGTGAAAAGCCACCTCGGAATTTTTACGTTTTCTATCAGTGGCATCTCATCACGGAATTTTATCCATTCACTCTGGTAAGGTTCGGGAATCGGGTCATCCCACGTACATCCGGTACGCCAAAGATCTTGGCACATACGCTTGCCAGTGATGATGATAGGAGCCAGCAAGCAAGCAGGATCATAAATTTTTGCAACGTCGGAAAGCTGCTGTCTTTTAGTGATTGCTACGGAAACTACGCTCACTTTTACCTTGTACCCAATATAGTCATCCTGGCATGACCAATAAATTCCCAGTGCTTTAGTGTCTTGGTCCGAATTAAGCGCACATATTTTATTGGCATTTGTTCCTTGAATTTTTTGAAGAAAATCTCCGGAATTGGAATTCCATTTTCGCAGTGTAAATCCGCCGCGCTGTAGTAAAGTCTGTAATTGCTGTTGTAATTCAACTGCCTTATCAATAGAGCTAGCGCCGCTTAAACAGTCATCTACGTAAAAACATTCCTTTAAAACATCTGCTGCTTCTGGAAATTCTGTACCCTCATCTTTCGCCAAAGTATGGAGAACTTTAATGGTTAAGTAAGGCGAACAGTTGAGTCCGTAAGTTACTGTAAGTAAGCGATATAGGCAAGGCTGGCCATGTTCATCTTTCCAAAAGATTCGTTGCATATCTGCGTCCTTATGGTCAACCAAGATTTGTCGGAAACATTTTTCGATGTCGGCCATAAATGCGATCTTGTGCCATCGCCACTTCAATATAATTGCGGATAAATCGTTTTGGAGCTTTGGTCCAACAAGCAAGCAGTCGTTTAGTGACCTACCACATTTCGTTTTACGTGATGCGTTAAAAACGGTTCGTAGTTTTGTAGTTGAGCTTGAGCCTTTATAAACACCGTGGTGGGGGATATAGCAGACAGGCTGCGGCTCAAAGTCCTCGCAAACAGGTTGCATGTGACCGAGTTGGAGATATTCGGACATAAACTCATCATAGAGTGTTTTAAAATAAATATCATTGTTCAGGCGTTTGTTTTGATAATGATAAAGCTTTTCAGCATCATATTTAGTATCTGCAAGCACAGACAAGTCAGCTGATGGTTTAAATGGGTAGCGTACTATATAGCGACCGGATCCGGTCCGGCGAGTTGTACGTTCGAAGAAGTCTTCGCAGTAAATCTCATCAAGAGTGAGTTTAGATGACGATTCGCCATCTTCACACGCGTTAAAAGCCCAAAGAGCTTTAACTAACTCGTTGAGCTCGATTGCTGTTGCCGCACAAAAGCTTGTGCGTAGTGGGGCGATATATTCAGTACAACGTCCATGAATGACCCAACCTAAGTGTGTATGCTGTGCCACGGAGGCGCTCGTGAATGACTGCTTCAGTTCACCGCAGAGCAAGTGTCCGTAAATGTCAGCTCCTAAAATTACGTCTATCGGACCAGGCTCATAGAATCTAGGATCTGCAAGATTCAGATTCAAAAGGTCAGTAAAAATCGTAGGATCCAAGCGAGCGCCTGGTAACTGTTGACTTAAACGTGGTAAAACTAACGCTGTACACCCAATATTGAAACCTGGGTAGCAGATAGAGCTAACGTCGAATTCCACTAAGCCTGAAGAGACTGCAGCATTTGTACATCCTATTCCAGTTACCGGGACCTGCAAGCGTCTACGTTTAAGGTGTAATTGTTGCGCCGCAAACTCCGTAATAAAAGACGCCTGAGATCCGCTGTCCAAAAGTGCTCTGAGTTGTAGACAGTAGCCATTTTCTGAATGTACATTTATCTGAGCTGTAGCGAGCACTACATGGTTCTGTGATGTTGTTATTGTTGTGTCTTCATCGTAGGCACGAGCGTGGTGCGTTGCAATACTGATCGGATGCATGCCGTCATGTAACATAGTATGGTGTTTTTGATTACATTTTTGGCAGGTATATGCAGATGTACATTCGTTAAACCAATGACCAGCCTTTAGGCAATTCTGGCATAATTTATTCTTTTGAACGAAGTTTAGCTTAAGTGCTGATGAAAGTTTTCGGAATTCGGGGCAAAACATAAGAATGTGTTTACCTGAACAACTGCTGCATCGAGTGACGCCGCTAAGATGGCTGCGCACGGGTAGTGCTTGAGTTACCTTAGGTCCAAAATCCTTTTGTTTTTGCTTTGAGGTTGCGCCCATTGACTCAAGGCCTTGTACACGACTCTCCAGAAACTTCACAAGCTCATTGTAAGTTGGAATATGATTTGGCGATTCGAGTGAGATTTCCCAATCTCTGACAGTGCTGGGATCAAGTTTTTCAGTCACTAAAAACACCAGCCAGTCATCCCATTTAGAGGTTGGACACTCCAAATGCTCAAGCGCCCGAATGGCTTCAGAAACGCCGTTCAAAATTTTACGAATTGATGCAGCCGATTCGGTTTGAGAGTAAGGAATATTAAGGATTTCTTTTAAGTACATCTTCACTAATCGCCTTTTGCTATCGTAGCGCTGGGATAAAGTATCCCATGCAATGAAGAAGTTGCTGTCAATCACAGAGATATTCTTCAGCAGAGTTTCTGCTTCGCCATTCGTACTGATCTTTAGGTAATGCAAGCGCTGCACATTCGACAAGGACTTGTCACCAATTACCAACGTCGTGAACATGTCTTTAAATTGCAACCAGCCCTGCAGCTTGCCATCGAACTTAGGGAGTTCAATTTTAGGCAAAATTGATATCGCGCACGCTGAGGAGTGCGGAAGTCGAACGGATGTCGTATCATGCCCAGCGATAGACAACTGCTCGATGGAGTCGTTAAGTTCACCGACAGCTTCGCAATAAGCAGTTTCTATTGCATCGAAATGACCATCTGCTAGCACATTTGTCAACTGATTCTCGCTTTCCTCAGTAGGCTCGATATTGCGAACTTCATCATAATTCGCACTGTATTTGGCCCAGTAGTCTTCCAGCAAGTGCTTCCGCGCGACGAAGTAGCCTTTTGTCTGCTTTGTCTTGGATACCTTATTGGTGTTAATGGAGAAGTTTTGTATATATTTAGCTAGGGCTTCTTCTTTCTTGAGCGCCATAACTGCTTGCCTCGGTGTGAGGTTATGTAGAATCTTGAGGGCGGAGAATCCCGATTCGAGTATATTATATATTACTCTGTTCCCCGCAAGGGATGCCAAATTTAATGTTAGATTTCATATCCTTGTTTAAACAATAAGTAAGCAGTTTGATCTGTAATAATGTAATTTTATTGCAAGTATCGACTTAGCACATGTGCTTTTCGTGCTGAGAGAAAAAAGAACAAGACATAAGCAATAGGAATGACAGTAGATTAGAATAACACAAAAGCAAAATGTTAAGGAGTTGCCATCGCACTTTTAGTGTAGTGATTGATTCTGAACACTTTCCAATGTGTTCTACTTGCAACTTCCCTCCCCGCTCCCCCTCCGAATGTTCAAGAGTAATGTGCGCTAACTGCTCTGGTGAGCATCCCTCCTCATCAAATACCTGCCTAAAATTTCTACAAACTAAAGAGATTCTTAAAATCAAAACATTGGAGAAATGTAGCATGCATGAAGCAATTCAAAAGTATAAAAACCAAATTCCCGCTCCTCCTAACCCCTCCTCCTTTGCAAATATTCTTGAATCTCCAAATCTTACCAACAGCGAAAAATAATATGCTTTTTAAATTAATAATAATAATGCTTTTCGTTCGTGTTCAAAAGTATCTTTAAACAAGTAAGAAAGTCTAAGTTCGGGCGGAGCCGAACATTAAATACTCGGCGCAAGTATTAAATATATAATTTACATATGTGTTTCCGAAAGCTACCGCTACATGGTAAGCCGGTGTGTATCAATTTTGAGTAAATTAGCGTCCTTAAATTTCGAAATATTGAAGTTTCAAGCATTTCTGAAATTTACCGTTATATGAAAAGCGGCCGTAATTTTAGTCCGATTTCAATAATTTTCAACGTTTTGCTTTTATGTGGCAAGCACGATAACAGTACCACAGTAAAAGGTGCCATCCCATTGTCCAAAATTTTATCATAAACGTATTTCTTGGTAAAGAATTGTTGCAAGCATCAATTTTGAATAAATTAGCTTTAATATTTACTGATATATCGAAGATTTCGTATTTCTCTAAATAACCGTTATATGGGATGTGGGCGTGGTTATTGTCCGATTTTAAAAATTATCAGCCATTTGGTATGCCGTACCAAGGCCACCACCTGTGCTAAGTTTGGAAGAAATTGGTGCAGCGGTTACCAAGATATACACATGTAACCATAAGTAGGCGTGGCTGCGCCCATTTTCCAAAAATGTATAGTATTCCTATTTTTCGTCTAAAAATTATTGTAAACATCAATTTTGAGTGAATAATCTTTAGTAGTTACTAAAATATCGCAGTTTTCGTATTTATGAAAATTACCGTAATATGGGAGGTAGGCGTGGTTATTGTCCAATTTTGCCTATTTTCAATACCATCCGTCCTACGCCCGAAAGAAGTGCACGTACAAAGTTTAGTCAAGATATCTAAATTTTTACTCGAGTTATCGTGTGCATAGACGGGCGGACGAACAGACAGTCACCGCATAATCGATTTCTCTTTTCATTCTGATCATTTATGTATACATTTGTCTATATCTATCTCGATTCGTTTTGCCTGTTACAAACAACCGTTATGTGAACAAAGTTATTATACCCTTGTGCACAAGTGCGCTCGGGTATAAAAATCTGCATAGTGTTGTTGCTAACTATGCAAATAAACTCAATACCAGTCGTACCAGTGCAGTGTCCAAAGATAAAAATAAAGCTTCGGCTGCAAAAACTAAACAATCAAAAAACAAGAACTTAAACAAAGGTTTGACTGAAACAACTAATCAGTCTCTCTTGGTTGATGTGCCTTCATGTATTAATGATTCGCAAGTTGAGATTTCTACTGCACTCGCAGCGTCGAGCCCAAATGCTCTGCCAAGTGATGATGTCTTGATTTCGAAGTCGACGTTGACGTTGGGGTCAGGTGTGGCTGCTGCTTCGCCCACTAATCAAGCCAATGATTTACGTGCTGTTGGGAGTGAAACTAATGTTGAAGTTCCGGCCACTTCCGATGCATTTAGTACGAAAATTATGCTATTACGTTGGCTGACGTTGCTGCTTCTGCGGGTCAGGAGTCTGTATATGATAATAACACTAATGAGAACAATTATCGTAAAGCGCCTGCGGCCTCTGACGGTCAGATGTCTGCCTCTGATAACACCACCAATTTGAGCAAACATCGTAAAGCGCCTGTAGTTCTTGTTGGAAGCAATGCTAATGCAAATATTGCTGTAGCTGTTCGACTGAAATGGTTACAAATATCTTCATTTAACAGGTCTACAAATATCTTAATTTAACAGGTCTACCGAAGATTTTGTAACCGGAAAATTGTATTACCAAAAAATGTTACCAGTTCTTGTCACCGCGATTCTAGGTACGTTGGTAATGCAGTTAAAATATTCAGCAATTCAGCTATGAAGAATTGTGCAAATCCTGCCATTGAATATTTCACGGGCAATAATTTGTTACCAGATTATGAGATGGTAACAAAATTTACCGGTTACAAGAGTATACAGAATACGAAAAGGGTTTAAAAATTGACAGGGACTTTATTAACCGGTTACAAACTTTTTATTACCAGCGCAGAATAGATCTGTAAGTCGACGGTAGAGGCTAGCGATATTGTCGAATATGTTTCGAAGAATGCAATATCTCTCCATCCCTAATTTGTTGATTTAAATTAATAAAGAAATACGTAGATTCAGGCTCTTTATCAAGATGTAATTTTAAACTTGGTATCTCGCCTTCAATTTATAATAAGCTGCTTGACTCTTCGATATGGCCATCGGATGTAAAATTAAGTCCTTTTCGTTTTTTTTTAGAAGGGAACGGGTCAAACTGTCAAACCTTAACTAAGCATGTAAATCGTAGCGTAAATAATGTTTATTTACTTCAAAATATTTCGGGAATGAGAACTAAAGCTAAAGATGTATTTTTAAGCACATCACGCTGTGAATATAAGGTTTATGTCATCGTTGATATTTGACTTAAGGATAACTTTTTCGACGCGGAATTTTTTGATCAGAATTTGTATCATACCTATCGTAAGGATAGAGATCCTATCAAAACTGGGTGTCAAAGAGGAGGTGGCGTGTTGACTGCCGTAAGGAATTCCCTCCTGTCGTCGTTTGTTCAGTTTTCTAATAGTGACACTCTACTTGATCAGCTTTGCGTTTGCATCCGCGGCACATTTGGTAAATTATTTATTTGTGTATCCTATATTCCGCCTAGCAGTATCGATTCATTGTACTTCTTCTTCTTCTTCTTTGGCGCTGTAACCGGCTAAGTGATTTTGGCCGAGTTCAACAAAGCACGCCAGTCGTTTCTCCTCTGTGCCAACTGAAGCCAATTGGAAATGCCAAGTGAAGACAAGTCCTTCTCCACCTGATCTTTCCATCGCAAGTTGAATACTTTCAGAGCTGGAGCGTCGGTATCCATTCAAACGACATGGCCAAGCCAGCGGAGCCCCTGTATTTTAATTCGCTGCACTATGTCCGTGTCGTTGTAAAGCTCATACAGCTCATTGTTCCATCGTCTGCGGTACTCGTCGTCGCCAACGCGTAAAGGCCCGTAAATCTTCCGCAAAATCTTTCTCTCAAACACTCCAAGAGCCGCCTCATCGGATGTTGCCATTGCCCATGCTTCTGCGCCATATACCAGCACGGGCATGATGAGTGACTTATAGATACGGTGGCCATAAATATCGATTCAAAATGAAGGACAATTTTTCAAAATATGCCTACATATACATATTTACGTAGTATAAAAATATCAAAAGAGTAGTTATGATTCTAAATTCTTAACACATTTTAAACTTTAAAAACGAATCACGTTTTCTTCGTCGATATTAATCTTTTTTTACATGAATATTCTACAAAAGTATAGTAAAACATATTATAATTACAATAGCTTACACGAATAGTGAAAATCTTTAAGAGATTTTATAGGCAAATTTTTAGTCGTTCAAAACGAAAACAATACCCTTTTTTGTTTTTTGTACTTTTCGCAGTTAGTTGTCAAAAATCGACGTCATGAATCGACGTAAACGACGAGTTACAAAGGTATTTATGTGCCCTTTACAAAAATATATAACTTGTGCAGATTGCGCTTCATTGCATCTACATTTCTAATCCGATTTTCATTATCTTTGACTCAAAATTTGCTGTAATGATATATCTTCTTTATCGAATTTTTAAACTAATGAAAAAAATAATCAAATAAAACTGCGTATTTGATTGAAAATCTCACTTTTTTCGACTTTGACGACAAAATGCAAATGGTCGCCTGTAGCACTAATAATTTTCATTGAAGTCGCCACAAGTTATATATTTTTGTAAGAGGCACATCAATACCCTTCGAGATGTAAGTCGCTTACGTTGACTGGGAGATTTTTTCATGAGATATTGAAGAAAAGTACCAAGAAACACTTTTTTTTAAATTCATCCATTGTCCGATAATTTTAAAATAACGAATAAAATGCGGGACAAATGCAGGACACTTGGAAAAAAGCAGTACATTTTCAGGGTTTTCAGGTTTGAAAAACTACGCAGGACCGACCTTTGAAAAACAGTACGGTCCTGCAAAAAACAGAACGGATGGTCACCGTACTTATAGAGCGTGTTTACGCACGTCGGGAGAGGACTTTACTCCTGAATTGCCTACTCAGTCCAAAGTAGCAAGGTGGAAAGAGTGATTCTGCGTTGGATTTCAATGCTGACATTATTATCGGTGTTAATGCTGGTTCCCAAGTAAACGAAATTCTCTACTTTCTCGAAATTGTAACTGTCAACAGTGACGTGGGTGCCAAGACGCGAATGTGCTGTCTGTTTGTTGTTGACACACGGTTAAAAATTTCGGTTTTAATATTAAACTTTTTGGACTACATATATGACCAAACTAAATTCAGTTTCAAATACAAACCTTCCAAGTTTATAAAAAAGAGAGCACATTTGTTGGGTTTAGAATTTAAACAATTCGGTTTAAA